GTCTGCACTTGTCAGGGGGATTAATAACATCTATTTTTTTTAGTTTATGCCAGAGTTGTAGCTTTCAAATAATGTTAAATATTGATGGATATGGCTATTTTGTCATTTAGAATAACTTAGCAAAATTTCAAGAAAGTGTGCTAGCCACATCTATCCTTGTACTCTAAAACCAGGTCACTGCTTGCTGACCCAGGTCACTGCTTGCTGACCCAGGTCACTGCTTGCTGACCCAGGTCACTGCTTGCTGCCATATCGCATTTGAATGTACTGTTTGAAGTGTACAATTTTGATAAAAGCTGAACAATGTGCATATACAGTCATGGTGAGTAATTGAAACAAAATTCTATTTTTAATAACAAAAGTAATTGTTACAGCAAATTGTGTGAGATTATGCTTTTGTGGAGTGTTATTAATGATTAACCACAACTAATCAAATATCAGCTTAAAATTATACAGCTGATCATTATCATATCAATGTGTTCAATGTGTCAAATTTTGTCATGTTTTTCTAAGTGATTCCTCATAACCTTTTTCTATAAAAAATTAACATATTGACAAAGATAATTGGAAATTATTGAAAATTTGAAGGAGTTTTAGGGGATAAAACGTCTAACTTATAAAATGTGTTGTTTTCACTGAGCTTATGAAAATTGGGAAAGAAATCAACAATAAGAATGTTGAACGTTGTACGTTAATATATATAATAATAAAAAAATATTAAAAACTGTTAAAGTAGTTATAGCGAGAGTGTCGCCACCTACACATGCGTCAGGTGGCCATAGTGTGTCATTGTTTACAAACAAGCGTCTACCCATGAGCCTTTGCATTTTTAGCGTGTGTTGACTCAAATCCCACATGTGCGCAGGTGACAACCCTCCCGCTTTAATAATTATGGAAGTTTTCCAAGCAATACACAGATTACAACATTATATATTAAAGTTTCTAATCCTATTTCCATGGAGATCAAGATTATGTTAATTTCAACCACATTGTGCCTCATATCTTGGTGTGAACAAAATTCAGTATTGTAAAACTGCTTCAACCTTTTCACCACCAGACTTTCTCGGCGAAATTTTTCTGCACTTTTTTCCTATATTCTTAAGTATTTCTAGACATGAAAGCGAATTTTGGAGCCAACAGACAAAATTTGAGTCAATTTTAATTTTTTTTTTTTTAAATTGGCTATTTTGTTCCAATCTTTTGAAGGAAAGTACAGACTATAAACAGGACTATTTTGTGAATTTGTGACGAAAAGAGGGAACTGGTGGTGGAAAGGCAAATTTTCCATACCGATAATTTTGGAAGTCAGTAAAAATTTAGTTAGCAGTGACAATTTCTCTGCGGCACCAGACTCACAAAGACTTTCACGCAACTCGTCCTCACCAATGCCAATAAATTGACAAATTACAGAAATTCTTAGCAGTGGAAATTAAACTGTTTACAGTAATTCAGATTTGGAAATCAGCAATAATTAATAAAATGTTGCTATTACAGCGTATTATAAAATAGGTCAAGTAGAGAGAGGTATCATAAATTAGGTCAATCATAAATTTTCCAGGTCAAATACATGTATTTATATATTTATTATTGTGTTGTCCTTCCTGGGTAAAATAGTTAGATTATAATTAGGAAAATGACCAACCAACCATGCATGTATTATATGTATAAATATACAGTTTATGCGCTTTTAACATTCCGAATGCCATTATGCCAAGGCAACAGGAAATTTATTCGTTTTGTCTAAATTTAACAAAGAAAAAAAATGGCATAATGTTCCACCAACATTTTTGTGAGAAAAATTTCTACTGTTTGTTTAAAAATTAAAACTCTGTATTATCTCTTTGCTGCCTGTCCACTGCTGAAATATATGCATTACATTTCGTATTTGCTCTGAAAAGCTAACCAGATTTATTATTACCCATATGCTATGCTGTAAGTCTCTAGTCGTCAGGAATATACCTTATATACCGGTATTGCCATATAGCCTTATCTAAATTTCAGTCTACCTCATTGTCGTGTGGTATTGCATAATTGAGCAAATTATAATTGCATCTTCGCATCTTAGTTTTTATTGATATTTCTGTTAATATTAGAAAGAAAATGGTTCATAGTTTGTTTTCATCATCATTGTTTTCTTCGTCCACGAACGCACTATATTTTCTGTAATGTGATATATGTTAGGTACATTGTACATCAAAAGTGATACTGTAAAAATACTATTCTATTTTCGCTGAACGATGATTCATTGAAAAAAAAATTCTGCGAATACACTTTTTTCTTATTTCTTACGTTCAACTCATCATAATCAGGGAAAATAACTCCATACAAAACACTGAGGAAGTCTTTTCAACGAAAATAGAAAAATAAAGTATTTTGCAGTATATTGATATTAAGAGTGAAGTTTAAAGCGCGGTAATCATCGCGCATTTGTGTTGATAAACATTAATTTTCCCACAATCCAATGCGTTCTTCAAATGGAAATCACAAGTATGAGGTTTGACCTTGGCGTGACTTGCACTGATTACCGACGGTGCCTCCTTCGATACCTTCCAATCATATGAAAATTGCCTAATTAAAGCTTAGAAACGTCTCAGTTTGTACTCGTTGATCTGCGATTACCGCGCTTTAATCTGCTTTGGCAGTTGATGACCTCCCTCCGCTATACAATCTCCTTTGGCCTCAAATTCCTGACTTCAGCAGAAATTTTAAACCATTTGAACATGCTACATCTTCGTTTAGAGATGAAAAGATTTCTCAAAACAATCTACTTATTAAAAATTTAATTTTTAGTAATAGTGGTCAAAGGAAAAAGAGCGAAGATAGCCTAGAATCAGTACAGCATTTCCCTCAGGGTATTTATGCAAAATACTTGTTGTTCATTGGTCAATATAAATGCTGCATGCTGGGGGAATTAACTATTTTGAAGCACTGATCTCTTGTGTTTACTCTGGTGACATTTTCATGCAACCAATCAAATATCTGGTCAATAGCAGATCTCAATGGGATATTACTAGCAGTGTAGCTAGGTATTAATGGAGTGGTGTATCACGAGTAGAACATCAATTGTATTCTAGTTTAGTGTGAAGTGGAATTAAACCAAGTTAGTTTTTTTATACAAAATGAATATAGAGGTTGGGGAGGGGTCTGTTATAAATCATAGATTCTGTGTATAAATGGTGTCAATTCAAAAACTGCCTCAAAATATCAATACGCATTTGTCTTAAGTTAATTATTTAATCATAATTTGGATTTCACTTTTGTAACGTGTAATTATTTCATTGTGAATTTTTTAGCGTATTAATACATCACCTGCTGACACCCCTTTTTTCCATTTATTTTGGTATGTCCGTGGAAGCTTTAGCAGGTGATGGGTTAATTGGTGTTGAATAAGCATTGTCTTGTCAAATTATTGTCATTGATGTACCAGATATTCAAGTTTTTTATGTTACCAGTTCCAGAATGTGTGTGTGTGAATAATCTATATAACTTTTTATAACAATATTACAATATTAAATTATTTAAAAAAAAAATCTAAAAATCAAGACTATTGGATAAGATGTCTGAATTATTGGACACTTTTCTGTGAGTAGCGCCCTCTAGTGCCAAAGTACATTTGTGGTTTAAAATAACCTTAACCTAGATGATGAATGAATGAATGCAACAACTGTTTTTGGTTGTGTAGTTCATCATTGTTTTAAGAATGTAGCAAATCTTTCACAAAGATAATTTAGAAAAGTAATTAAGTGCTGTCATTGCAGTTGTGTTGCCCGGTTAAGTCCAGTCGTAATTAACCAGGTACTTTCTGGAAGTGCATGGGGAGGGTGTGTATTAAGTGTAACAGCATGTTCTCAGTTATGGTTATTTTTTCCTATTTCTCAGACCATCAGGTACTACGGGAAGGGTGATGGTAGAAAAAAAAAGGAAATTTATTTTCTTAACTCAGTTTGGAACTAGATTTTTTTCATGACTGTGCTTCTGTTGCCTTCCCAAGAGTTTCTGATGGTCAATCACTAACCATAGATTTGTATTTTCAGCAGATTTTTGATAGTAAGGCAGTTCCTTTTAAATGTATCAACATTATCTACAACTTGTACCTATTAAATCGTCAAAGACGTTGCACTACGCATATTTTTGCATTAAAAATGTCTTGTACACAGGCTGTGTTCATTGGAGTATGGAACCAATACAGAACACAATGATGACTGTGATGTTTTGACCTCCTTGAATATTTTATGAAAAACAGTAGAATTTACAATACAAATTTAATTTAGTTAAAATCATCAGACATCATGCTTATATTATGTTTACCACATGTACATTTGACAGTTTGATTATTTGCTACTGAATTGTTAACTCCTTTATTTATCCAAATATGGTCAAATCTATCCAAATATGGTCTTGTATATATCACTTGTCTTCTCTTGAATGTTTCTGTATATATTTGAAATATCATTAACAGAATAATTATGTTTTTCTAATTTAAATGTGTGATGAGTGTTTTTAAAATTTAATTGAATATA